TACATACATGGAAAATTTCAAGCCCCGGCGCCACGCTTAAATATTACACGATTTCAAGTTATAAAAAGTACGGGTCTGCTTATTATCGACATTCTTCAGTTCGAGCGACTGAGGAAAACAATGTTGGACAACCCTAACGTACATATGTATGTATGGATGTATATTTTTTATATCCATAAACTTATGAAAATATATACATGCATATGTGCTGCTTTCGTAATGGTAAATAATTTTTCATTGTAAACAGACGAAAGCGCTTTGTTACGCCTTGTCTTCTTGCTTTTTCTTTCGATGCACTTTTCACTGTCTATTGTATTGTTTACCGCCACAAATAAATAAACCACAATATTCTCTTTTTCTCCTCTGTAATATGACGTTTTCCGTCACGCAAAATTTAAACTGTTAAACAAATTTCCGTCACCGCCACTCTATGAATTATATTGGCGTTTGTTATTCTCCCTCATTAATTGATGCGAACACTTTGAATGGTACTCATGTTGATTTGTCCTTTTTCAACACAAAACGTGCTTTAAAAATAGTCCGAGTAAATTCGATCGCACTTATTTATATATATACATTCATATGTATGTATGTATTAAATTAGACCTAAAAGGAAGATGTCCCGTCACTATTTAGTTAACTAAGTATTAAATCTAAAAATAGCATCACTTCCTTTTTGGATTATTCCTGCACAGGAGCGAAGTCGAAAGGACTCTGATTTCTTGTTTTCTGGCTTACTAGTTATTTGGTGCGTACTCCCAGAAGCACCATTTTTAGGTTCTATTTTGCTATTAATACTCAATATGGAGTATAAAATTCATAAGCAATAGATACAACTGAAGTGCTCCTTTGAGACGTGCAACAGCTGTCAATACAACAACATTCTTGCTGAATAGTGATTTACATACGAACGCCTGAGTTCGCAGCATTAATAAGATGGAAATATTTATTACCTTTTATTTAATGAGGAAGTGTTAATTTGAATATACTCGTAAAACCAACTTTCTATGAATCTTAATAATATTAGAAAACAGTTTTTCCAACAAAGATTAGATGGTGTAAACAGATGTAAGTACCCGTCACTCAGCAGTTTTCAGAAGTAAATGAGATAATACATATACGGCTGAACAGAAGACGCAGAATCTATCATACATCATATACATACATATGTATAGGGCGATCCATCTAATTAATTAATTTTAAATAAAAAACACAAACCGTTTGAATTAAAATATTTTTAAAAAGTAAATTAAATCGAGTAAATTTAGAGTAAAATAATAAATATTCCGACCAACATCCAATTCTGTTTTAAGTGTTTTACGTAAAATTAAAAAAAGGTCAAGGTGGATTACCCCATATATACAGTGGTGGAAAAATAAATAGGGACACGACATATTTTTTAAATTTGCCTATTTTTTCGTGTATTTAATATTTAATTATTTTTATTTTTTTTATGAAATTAAAGCTCATTATCTAACAAAAACCATATAAATTCATATTTCGAACTTTGTGCAGAAATTTTAAAAATTCTGCAAAATTGCATCTAAATTTTCAACTTTTTAATCAGATTTTTTAGAATTGTTTTGAGTATGTAGTTTTATAGCCCATTAAATTTTAGTAGAACGAAGCGTAAATTTTAAGTTGCTAGCA